TCTGTAAGATAAGTGTCCAGGTCAGCGGGCAAGGCTTTTTTTGTGCTGTTTGATGTGGCTTGCCAAACTGCTTTCCAAAAGTAAACGAAGGAGGTTTAATGTAAGGATGCATCCCACACTGGGAGCCAAGTACAGTCAGGCTTCAGGGAAATTGGAACTGAGAGCCAACAGGAGCTCAAATACTGCCTCTGGCTCCTGGGGCCTGCCTGTCCCAGCTTCTCTCTCCACTTTCTGCTCCAGGTATTTTTCTTTTCTCTTCTCTTCTCCACTTCTCCCCTCCCCTCCCCTCCCCTCCCCTCCCCTCCCCTCCCCTCCCCTCCCCTCCCCTCCCCTCCCCTCCCCTTCCCTCCCCTCCCCTTCCCTTCCCTTCCGTTCCCTTCCCTTTTCTCTGTGATCCAGCAGAGCTGTCAGCTCTGAGAACATACCACTTTGTAACTAACCACTCACATGTCCTGAGGACTTACTTTGTCGCAGGCACCATACCAATCATCAGTATTGATTATCTTTAATTTTCACAACCACCCTCAGGGGTGGGGGTAATAATAATCCCCATTTTACAGATGAAGAAACTGAGGCATGGAAAAACTGAGTAACTTGTTTAAAGATGCAGTCAGTAACTGGTGGGACCAGGTTCCACCTCACTGGCCTACTTCAATTCAAAAAGGTACTCAGGGGATGTGTGGGTGGCCTAGTGGTTGAGCATCTGCCTTTGGCTGAGGTCATGATCCGTGGTCCTGGAATCAAGTCCCACATTGGGCTCCCCACAGGGAACCTGCTTCTTCCTCTGCCTGTGTCTCTGCTTCTCTCTCTGTGTCTCCCATGAATAAATAAATAACAGCTTTAAAAAAAAAAAAAGTACTCACGACCACTGCACCAGTCTCCCTGGGAGCACGGGGGCCCCAAATCCACAACTACCAGCCTAGCTAGCATTTCTGTGTTTCTGAGTTAGAGTTCCGAAAAGGGAGAATGTGTCTGGCTTAGCCCAGCCTATGGCTTGGAACCCTGAAGTCAGGGTCCAGTCGTCTGCAATGGAGGTAGGACCAGATAGGAGATGCTAAAGAGTAAGCTGGGCCATGGCGGCAGGTGGGTAGACAATTGTGATGTCCCAGTGCTTGATTTCGTTAAAAAATATTTAAAAAGGAATGTCATTGGCATAAATACTATCTTGTTTGCCTTTGCTTTTCATTGGTTATTTGAAAGACTGAACACTGTTTCCATAAGGTCCCTTTCCTCCTGCAGTGCTACCCAAACCTGCCTAAGTCAGTCCTGCTTTATATATTACAGTAAGAACATCACACAGAACCAAAATGTGCTCGGAGGGGTTGCAGATGGAGCGAGAATGGTTTCTCACTAAAATGACTTCTCCTTTGTCCTGAAGGCCTTGGGGGTTGGGGGGGTTTGACTGACTTCTTAATCAGCGTTTCTGAGAAACAGGCTTCTCCCTCCCTACCTGTCATGTTACTAGAACTAGACAGTCTTTAACAGGGACATCTCTCACCAGGAGGGTCTCTGCATTTGCCCTCTCCTTTCTGGCACCTTCTCCTGAATGAATTAACTTCTGGATGTTCTCAGGGGCTGAAACAGTTTGCTGGTCATACTGTGGGACTTGTCTTGGAGTTGCATCCACATCTGTTCTTTTTTTTTTTTTTTAAGATTTTATTTATTTATTCATGAGAGACACAGAGAGAGAGAGGCAGAGACACAGGCAGAGGCAGAAACAGGCTCCATGCAGGGAGCCCGACGTGGGACTCGATCCTGGGACTCCAAGATCACACCCTGAGCCGAAGGCAGGTGCTAAACCTCTGAGCCACCCAGGCATCCCCCACATCTGTTCTTTTTTTTTTTTTTTTTTTTTTTTAATTTTTATTTATTTATGATAGTCACAGAGAGAGAGAGAGAGAGAGGCAGAGACACAGGCAGAGGGAGAAGCAGGCTCCATGCACCGGAAGCCCGATGTGGGATTCGATCCCGGGTCTCCAGGATCGCGCCCTGGGCCAAAGGCAGGCGCCAAACCGCTGCGCCACCCAGGGATCCCCCCCCACATCTGTTCTTATTGGGCTTTTGCCTCATCTCGATTCTGGGCTACATGCACACTTCTGCTTCCAAGCCCTGGGGACAGAGCACCTGTGTCTGCACCACTGTACTTAGAAGATGTGCCATCGTACTGCTAAGATGCTAAGGGTCCTCTCCCACTCTCTGTCCTCAGACGCTGGGGGTGACAAAGTACCCACTGCCGTAGCTCTGAAGCAAAGAGCCTTCCACCAAAGAGGGTGAGGCCTGGGAGGTGGCATGCTACAAAGTAAACTATGCGGCTGACATAGACAGTAAGGGCCCCAGGCCTGGCGGGAGACACATGGCAAGGTTGCTGGCAGTACTGGGCAGGAGAAGCCCCTGTGGGCCGGGACAGCAGGCAACTCTTGGGTCAGCCTTTTACTCAGGAGCCACGTGAGCTGCCGCTCTTGCCAGCCGTTCACAGCTGTGGGATAGCTGGGGGTGGTGGAGGCACAAGCATTGCTCTCTGAAGCCAGGGATTCAGGTTTATTTGTGGGATTCCACCTGCGACTGTGGCCTCTGCAGCCTGGAGCTCCATATGAGCTCTTTGGAACCAGTCCACACCCGGGGCTTTGAGATCTGGTGGATAGTTCCTGGCATCCCCTTTGGAACTGTGACTGGTCTCTCCGTGGCCCCTCCTTGACCATGCCTTGGAGATGTTCAAGAGCTGCCCGTGGGCAGTGAAGTTGATAGAATTAGCAGGAAATGGTGTTCCTAGGAGGTCAGCTGGCTCCTGGTTGTGCAAAGCCCAGGCTGCCTGCCACCCATGGGCTACCCTTCTTATATCATGAACCATAGCGCAGGGTCATTTTTTAAATCTCTGCTCCTGATGTCAGGAATATGGTCCCTTCCAACTCACTAGATTGGCAAACAGAACATCCCGGGGATGGTCATTTGTTTCCTATGGCTGAGACCATCAATGGTTCCCTTATATCCATTCTCTTTTTCTACGGTAACAGAAGTTTTAGTTGGTTGCAAAGCTGTCCACCAGACACTACATTTTCCTACTTCCCTTGCAGTTTATTTTTTTAAAAGATTTATTTATTTATTTATTTGTGAGAGACACAGAGATAGAATCAGAGACATAGGCAGAGGGAAGAGCAGGGTCCCCACTGAGAGCCTGATGTAGGACTCGATCCGGGACTCTGGGATCACACTGTGAGCAGAAGGCAGACACTCAACCACTGAGCCACCCAGGCACCCCTCCCTTGCAGTTTAGATGTGGCTTATGACTAGGTCCTGGCCAATGAGGATGGTTAGGAAGGGGCACTCCCTTTCATCTTTCTGTTTGCCACTGACTGGAAGGCAGATGTGGTGGCAGGAACTGGAGCAGTCGTTTTGGACCACATGGAGAAAGCTACACAGTGAGGAAAGCAGAATGACAAGATTGAAGGAAGCTGAATGCCTGACACCAATCATCTATGAACTACCTGGTTAGATGTTTATGTGTGGGATAGATCAACCTTTATTCAGTTTAAGCCTCTGTATTTGGGGGTCTCTTTGTTCTAGGAGCTGAACTCATATACTCACTATTGTTGTCCCTTAGTGGAATGGCCACATCTAGATATGTTTGCTCACTGGTGATGCTGGGAACCCCATGTTTTAGTAGACCAATACTTGGTGGTCTCCAATAGATCATCCTTCTTAGTATTCCCACCCTAGTGTGACCTCTGCTCATAACCAGGCTTGGCTATGTGACTTGCTTTGGCCAATGGGACCTTAGTAAGTGTGATGGCTAGAAGCAGAGACTCGGTAAGCACTTGTCATAATGGGGCTTGTCCTTTTAGAACACTAACTCTTGGGATGCCTCTTCTCCAAACCCAGCTGCTGATCTTGAGAAGCCCAACACAGCCACAAGGAAAGGTCACATTGGGGAGAACAGAGGTGCTGCCCCCGCTGACCCTGTACCAATCTGCCAGCATGTTAGTGAAGCCCTTCAGGAAGTGAATCCTACAGTCTGAGGGATGGAGTAGAAATGAGCTGTCCTTGCCATACCCTGTCGAAGCTGCAGAATCAGGATCAAATGAACACTTGCCGTCTTAAGCCATTAGCTTTTGGGGTAGCTTGTTACACAGCACTAGACAACTGAAACAGAGGTGGATAGCCCAAGGCCCTTTGTACTGTCTGAAAAACTACATCCACCATGCTTCCTTTTATACAGCTTGAAACTAAACCACGACATGGGAAGTTGCTGATGCTCTGGAAAATACACAAGAGTGGCTACTTTTCCCTCCAGAACCCCATGCCTTGCCTTCGACCCTTGCCAGGTGTTTATCCTTTGCCTTCCCGCTTGGATTTGTAGCTTCTTCAATAGGGGTGGGCTCCATGGACCTTCCCCTGATTTTTCAGAAAGTTGGGAAGTGCCACATCACTTAGATCAGGGTTAGGCAGCATCTGACAGCCAAAGGCTGCCCGTGGCAACGGCCTCCCTAGCGCCCACGTAAGTGCTAGAGGAATAAACGAACGAATGAGCAAATGAATGAACTGTGACAAGAAGTGACTTAGTTGGACCCCAGCACGAGGGGTCACAATGTGAGCGAGGCGTATAGAAGGGTCTCCAGGAAGGACAGGATCAGTAGAGTCAGGCCTAATGATAGATTGCTTTGGAAATATGTTAACCCTTTTAAAATATAATTATAGTAGCTAACATGATTGAGCTCTTACTATGTGCCAAGCACTGTGCAAAGTGCCTTATGTGATTGCATTAATCATCCCAACAACCCTGGGAGGTAAGTTCTAACTTTCATCCCCTTTTATAGGTGAGGAAATAGTGGCCCAGAGAGGTTAGGTAACTTGCCTAAGTGGGGATGGGAAGATTTGAACTCAGACAGTCTGGCACCAGCACCCAAGGGCACAGCCCCCACGCTCTGACAAACAACAGGAGTCCCCGTATTCCACCCTTGTAGAAAAGGCCAGCACCTGGAATGCTTTAGGGCACAAGCCCCAGCCCGGAGTCTCTGAAGTGCTCCTGGGAACCTTGGAAAAGCCGGGTCAGAGGAGAAGAGGAAGGAAAAAAGGGAGGTGAGTCTGGGGTCCGCGTGCCAGGCAGCATCGGTGTCCTGCCCCAGCACCTTCACCAGCTGCTCCCACTCACTCCCCAGAAATGAGCCTGGCCCATTCACACGTGTCCCTAATGCCAGGTTCCAAGAAAGCCACCTAAATACCTGGTATTTGAGATGTAAAGAGACCGGCTCCCTGTACTTAGCGCTTCGCTAACTTTTCCAATTATAGCGCCCTATTTTCCAAAGTCTAAAATGGACATATGTTATAACTGTCTTGGGCCTCAAGGTTTCAGAAACACCCTTAAGGCTCCTGAAATACAATCGTATATTTTAGACTAATTCCTAAAGGGCTGAGTGGGGTTATCTTTAACATCTGCCAGCAGACACACAGATCTGGCCTTTGTGTGCAAATGAGCCCGGGGCCTGGACACGGGGCAGCCTGAGGTGCACTAGCTCCAAGCCGGGCTGCGTGGGAAGGCGTGAAGAAGGCAGATCGCAGGCTCGGGTTGGGCTGAGAGGGAGACACAGGCCTGCCCTCAGGGGGCCCTGGTCTGAGGGGAAGCTCCCGGGCTGAAGGAGGAGGCAGGACTGTACTGAAACACAACAGAGGACCTCGGAGGGCCGTGGGATTCCACGGCTGGAGGCTGCCTGGGGCCCAGAGAGCCCGGACACAAGCACTTTCGGTAGAAGCGGGCGGTGGAGCTGAACTGTAATCGCTCCCTGGAGCCCCTGTGGCTTCGGGCCTGCCAACCGGGGGGCACTTTCTGGTCAATCCCAACCGTCGTTATTAAACATTTATTATGTAAGGGAGATGTGCTTTTCTGGTGGCAGCGTTTGGCCAGTGGACTTGGTGAGTAAATGGACTAGAACTAATCCTGTAGCTAAGTAGTGAGGGCCTCAGAAAAAAAAATGCCTCACTTGCCAGGGACGAGAGATTTAGAAAGTACCAGCCCTGGGACTGCCCCTTCTCCCCAGGCTGCCTAGCTTGGCAGCCAGGCCTCCAAATGGCTTTGTGAACACGCAGGGCAGAGATGACACTGGAGCTTGTTAGGATGTAAAGCCCAAATTGGGAGTTCGGAGAAGTCATATGCAGGGGGCGGAGTTCTGCTTGGCATCGGGAGAGCTGGGTTTGAGTCAGCTCAGCCCTTAATTTGTGGGATATCACCTCAGGAGTTGGGAGGGGCATCCCGCCTCTAGGAGAAGAGGAGGAAAAGGAGAGTCTCCACTCTGAGGGGAGACACAGCCCTGCTTCAGGGAGCCCCAGTCTGAGGGGAAACATAGCCCCGTCCTCAGGGAGCCCCAGTCTGAGGGGAGACACAGCCCAGAGACTTAAGAGAAAGAAGTATCAAATAAGCTGGGCCTTTGGGAAACAGGGTTCATCCTTCCCCATCCACTTCATTACTTGTACAGAGAAGGCCAAGGACTCCTCAGATAGCTATCTGGAGGCAGTCATTCTGCGTCTGGACAGAGACCAGAATGGGGTAGGGCCTCTACTACGGCCTGGAGCCTCTTGCTAGGCAGTGCCAGCGCCTTACCTCATGTGAATCTTGCAGGTCATGCCCAGAGTGGGTACCCACAGGGTCAGGAAAGTGTCCTTGCAGTACTAGCCAGGCCATTTTTTTCCTTCGTAGAAAGGAGCTTTACTGACCCTCTTAGTGGAGAAAGACCAGGAAAAGGGCTTATTTGGGTCTGGAAAAGTCTCCTTGTCAGACTGGGAGCTTTAGTCCTAGGCTAGAATGGAAACTGCACATGGTAAGGGTTTGGACCTAACTTGTACACTGTTTCACCCCCAGGGCCTAAGATCCAGCCTGGCCTAGCGTAGGTGCTCACTAAGAAATTGTTGAATTAATTAGAGCCTTTTCAAGACTAACTTAGAACTCATCTCCTGCGGAAAAATTTCCATGATAAAACTTGCCCAACTTTAGTGACAACTGCTCAAATTCACTTGCAAATATAAGTAATTGAGTTCCAACACTGTCCCTTTTGAAAGGGAAGACCATGAATTTAGACTATTGTTATTGCTGTGCAGCAAGCCCTACACTAGTTCCTTTAGGGACGTCCTATCACTTAATCCTTGAAGGAAGACCCTGGTTTACAGAGGAGACCAGAGGGATGCCTGAGTGGCTCAGGGATTGAGCGGTTGAGCGGTTGAGCGTCTGCCTTTGGCTCAGCGCGTGATCCTGGGGTCCTGGGATTGAGTCCTGCGTCGGGCTCCCTCCATGAAGCCTGCTTCTCCTTCTGCCTGTGTCTCTGCCTCTCTCTCTGGGTCTCTCATGAATAAATAAGGTCTTAAAAAAATACAAAGGAGACCAGGCTTGGGAAGGTTACATAGCACACCTGAATTTACACCTCCAGAAAATTGTAGTGCTGGAATCTGAAGCCAACCTGGCTCAACAACTCATCCCTGGACTTTTTTTTTTTTTTTTTTTTTTCCTGAATCCCATGGAATTCTTTTTTCCCAATTAGCTTTGTGATCCCAAAGGTAACGCTACAAAGACTTGTTCAGCTCCTGTGCGTGCCCCATGCTGGATAGGGCACCCAAGAATTCCCAGTCCCTGGAGCCTCCGGGACAAGGACAGCAGAGCACTGAGCCCAGCGGAAGCTCCTGTGACAGTTGACCCAGTCTCCCTGTGGCCCTGCCAGCCCTGACTTAGTGACACCTGCCACGCAGACCAACAACGGATTAGCCTCCAAAGTGGAGCACACGTGGGCCTTGTCAGAGCTTCTGGGAAAGTAACCGTCACTCCCGGCCCCTCTCCCCACACTGTTGGCGAACTCGGGGACACGGGGTGGAGGTGGGGGGGGGTGGCTCATTCCCCCACCTTGTTCTTTCATGAGAATCTTCCTGTGGCAGAGCTGAAGGGACTCGTCCCGCAGGCAGCCTGTGTGAACTCTGTGCTGAAACATTGTGATCTGTTTCACCTTACGGCGCATGTCTGTGAATGTCTCATCCCCCCATCATTATTCACTCCTGGTAGGCACCAGGCACTTGCCATAAATTCTTTCTAACCTCCATGAAAACTCTGCCATTATTACTGGCCTGAGCACAGGAGAGCTAAGGTTTGGAACTGGGAGAGGTCACATATCCTGCCCGAGGTCACTTAAACTTGTAAATGTCAGAATCAAGATTCAGATCCAGAGCCATCAGCTCCAAAGAAGTTCTCTAAACTTGCCTTTTCCAAAACTAGCTGTTTACCGACTTTTGCCCAGGAGCTTTTTACAAGCACCTTCCTTACAACAGTATCATGAAACAGGAAGGAGGCAGCTCTCTGTATGCATCAATATGGTGCTGTGTGTGCCTAGAGCATCTCCAGAGAGGGGGCAAATAGCTAGCCATTGGTGGCCCTGGGGAACAGTCCCCGGGAAGCAATATAGGAGGGTGACTTGATTGTCACTGAATCCTCTTCAGTACTGGTTGATTCTTCCTCTCTTCCTCCCTCCCTCCTTCCCCACCTGCCTTCTTCCCTCCTCTGTTCTTTTCACTTTTTAAAAAATATATGAAAATAATTTTGAAATCAAACAAAACTATAGATCCTGGGGCCCTCTTGCTGGGATTCATGTAAATTAGAGTCTCCAAGGGTTAGGTCTTCGGAAGCTGTATTTTATTTTGTTTTTTTTTTTTTGTTTTTTTTTTTTTTTAATTTTTTTTTTTATTTATTTATGATAGTCAGAGAGAGAGAGAGAGGCAGAGACACAGGCAGAGGGAGAAGCAGGCTCCATACACAGGGAGCCCGACATGGGATTCGATCCCGGGTCTCCAGGATCGTGCCCTGGGCCAAAGGCAGGCGCTAAACCGCTGCGCCACCCAGGGATCCCTTTATTTTGTTTTTTATTTTGAGTAGGCTTCACACCCAGCACGGAGCCCAACCCAGGGCTAGAACTCGAAACCCTGATAATAAGACCTGAGCTGAGATCAAGAGTCGGATGCAAGCCACGCAGGCGCCCTGGGAAACTAGATTTTAAAAAGCATCCCAGGCAGGCTCCGGAGCCCTCTGATCCCAGCCTCTTAGAGGCCAAGCCTTGCCTTGCCTGGCACATCTCCACTTCCCTTGATCTTGAACTTGGTGCTATCAGCTCTGTGTGGGACCAAAGGCTGCCTAAGACACCCTGGGTCCTCCCATCAGTGCCTCCCTCAGGACCTTCTCCAGCCAGACGTCACGAGCCCCAGACCTGCCGAGAAACCAGCCCCACCCGAGGACACAACCCCTCCTCGGGTGTCCTGTGTCTGCTAAAGCTCAGAGGTCACACCCGTTCTCACACCTCGACGCCACACACATGCCAGACCCCTCTGCCCCCGAGGTCAGCCAAGGCTGTGTTAGCAGGGCTCCCTCCTATACACAGTGGCGGCCTAACGTCACTATTCTGCTCCTTGGCTTTTTCCTTTTCAGTCTGTCTGGGAGAACTGGTAGCAGTTGTCAGCAGCGCACGGAGAGCAGCGCAGCATTGCCCTGCGTGGAGGTGTTGGCATTTGTCCAGGAGCCGTGTGAGTTCCTGGCTCCTAGGTTCAAAGCCCTGCTCTTCTGCGCTTAGCTGTGTGACCTGGGGCGAGCTCTAATCTCTGTGACATGAAGATGGGAAGAGCGGAGGCACGCAGGGCTGTCAGGTAGTGACTGGCACATAGCAAGTATGCAGTGAGTGTTCTCATGATCTCTCCTGCCTTTCGAGTCTCAGAGGGAAGACCAGTGGGGGCTAGTGAGCCATGTCTAGAAGCTCAGCATCCCATCCCCACTCCGCGTCTTTCTAGCTCTCTCAAAGTCTACTTTTCCTCATCTGTAAGACGGGGATGACTCCTGGCTCACAGGAAGGTCCACGATGGGGTGTGGCACCAAGCCAACACGCGACAAATATTTATGGAATGAACAATGGAATGGAAGTGGGGCCAAACCTGGGTGGCTCAGTGGTTGAGCATCTGCCTTCAGCTCAGGGAGTGATCCTGGGGTTCTGGGATCAAGTCCTACATCAGGCTCCCTGCATGGAGCCTGCTTCTCCCTCTGCCTCTGTCTCTGCCTCTCTCTTTCA